TGGAGGTGTTGGAGTCCGCGGAATCATGCTCTGGCACGATTCAGGATCATCAGGACGCAACGATAACGACGTGGATTCGCGGCGTTGAAGTTCCAAGAATGTTCTTCCTGGCACGTTTCAGGATTTTCCAACAGTTGTCTTTCAACGAGGCACTACCTGACTTTACACGTGGCACTTCCATCAGTGAAAATGAATCCTTGTATGGGGTCTGTGAAGAGGGAACGTTGAGGGAGAGTTTATACCAACATCGTTGCTGCATCTTGGGTTTACACTGGCCCTCCTCCTCCTCCTCCCCGTCAGCGAGGCTTGGGGCTCGTAGGGCCCTACCTCAAAACTTTCGTTTACAAACCTCCTGGGGCGTGGAGTCTCTCGGTGCCATTTGGGTGGGCCGATCGTGCTTCCAAAAGCTTCTTGGCGGGTTGTTGGGGGTCAGAGTCGGGAATCGTCAATACCTTTTTGGAGGGACCGAAAGCCTCCTCAGGGGCGTCTTGAAGCAATTTTGAAGCATCTGGGGCCTCTTGGGAGCCTCTTGTGGGCCTGATGGCAGCCTGGTGGGGTCGGAGGGCTCCAACTGTCAGCTGGAGTTCCCATACTGGGTCCATCTTGTGGGTCTTTTGGATGCCAACGTGGGCCGTCTTGGGCGCCTCTTGGGGCGTCATTGGACCCTCTTCGGTCCCTTTGGACCTCCTGGATGCCTCTTGGGGGCCTCTAGGGTGCCTCGGGGACCCTCTGGGGTCGGAGGGCTCCAAATGTCAGTGCGAGTTCCCCATCTTGGGTCCCTCTTGGGGGCGCGTTCGGGCTGTCTCGGGCGCCTGTTGGGCTGTCTTTGTGCCTTCTAGGGCCGTCTTGGGGCCCTGTTGGGGGCTTATTGGGCCGTCTTGGGGCGGTCCAAAGGGCCTTTCGGGCTGTTTTGTTGCTGGGCCCCAGAAACAAATATGCTACACATGTAGGCTTTCCCAGAGGGATGGGAAGACGTGTGCCTCTCCGGGCTCTCTTGGGCGTCGCCTTGGAGCGCTGTTGGGGCGTCTTCGAGGCTTCTGGCGCCGTTCGAGGCGCCTCGGTGGCCGTCTAAAACGCTTGGAGGCCGTCTTGGAGCCGCCTTGTCGGCCTGAGCGCTGTCGAGACGGACCTGGGGCCCCCGAGGAGCCCCGCGGAGCGGGCCCCGGCCCCCGGCGCCGACGCTTGTGGTACTCGTCGCAGTCCCCAGGCGCGCCCGGGCCTGGTCCCCGGAGCGCGTCCAGAGCCTGCCCGAAATGACTCAGGTCAGGGCTCTTTGTGGTCTTTTGGGCGCCTCGGGGGGGCCTCGAGAGGCGTCTTGGGGCTTCTTGGAAGCCTCTTGGGGGCCTCTGGGGGGCCTCGGGGGGCCTCTCGGGGGCTTCTTGGGAGCCTCGTCCTTCCTTGTGTGGGTCCCTCGGGCCCCTCAGTGTGTGTGAGTCGCTCGGGTTCCTCGTAGTGTGAGTCGTTCGGATTTTTTTTTTTTTTTTTTTTTGTTTCTTCTCTCTCTCTCTCTCTTTCTCTGGGGAGTCTTGGCGATACTAGTTCGTTACGGCGCTGCTCGCTCTGGAGAGCCTTGCGGAGCCTTTGTTACGTCACCGTAGCCTCTTACGGCCGGAAAGCGAAAATCATTGATCAGCCTAACGCAAATCAGCGATGTTGGCCTCGCCGGGCCCTCCTGGGAGCTTATTTAGAATAACTCCTGGCCGTCTGGGGACTTTCTTTGGCTGCCCTGTGGCCCTCGTGGGCTGTCTTCGGTTCCTTCGGCTGGTTAGCGGCTCTCCTGCGTCACTCGGGGGGCCCTGGTGGTGGCCTCTCGGGACCCCCCTCGGCCGTCGTGGGGCTCCTTCCTGCACAAGGGGGGGGGGGGAAAGAGGAGCGGCGAAACAAAGCGGGCGGAAGGGAGGAGCGAGGACACGGGCGGAAGGGAGAATGAGAAGTAAGATCCTGCCTTGAGGAGGGCAGGGAGACGAGGAACGGAGGGAGTGACAGGAATATGCTGCGGGCTCTCAAACGGTCAACCCGTAAAATCAGGACGCACGATAAGGATGCAAGGGTCTTTGAAGGCCACTTCGAAGCTTTTCGAGCGGGGCGCGGCCCCCGAAAGTGGCCAAGGATGGACCGAGGAGGCAAGGATGCAAGGGGGTGCCCTTGGGAAGGTTGCCCATCCTTGCCGTGCGGGCTGACTGCAACGTCCCTCCGCCCATGTCGGCACACCCTTCGCGCGCATCGTGCTCCCCAGGGAGCGTGGACCCTGCTGGGCCGACTTGGCGGCCTCTTTTGGGGCTTCCTGGCCCGTCTCGAGGGCGCGCCTCGCCGCGGGACACGGCGGCCCAGAGCACCCTCTCGGCAAGCCCTGGCTGCCCGTGGGGGCCTGCGGTCTCGCGGGCCTCTGGGCCAGGGCCCCGGACCCCGTCCAGCCTCCCCCTCCTCCCTCTCCCCCCCCCTCCGCCGCCACTTCAGAGGAGGAGAGGAGGAACAGCAAGGAGGAGGGAGCAGGCAGCAGGGAGGAATAATAGTAATAATAATGAAAATAATACTAATAATAATAATACCACGAATAATAATAATGCTATTAATCGTACCAGTAATAATAACAATACTAATGATGAGAAGAATAATAAGAAGAGGACGAGGGGGAAGACAAGTACGGAGCAAGACGGCGCAGGAGGAGAGAGGAGGGGGGGAATATTGAGAGGAGAGGAGAAGGGAGGAGAGGGGAGCATCCAGAAGGCAAGCAAGAGCGATGTGCTTAACATATGCACGCTGCGGACCGCCCTGCGATAAGCGCAATTGCATTGGTGGCGACAAAAAGATGAGGGGGAATGGAGGGAAAGGACGAAGGGGAGGAGGGAATAAGTGAATACGAAGAGAAGAAAACGACGCGTGTGGGTGCTAGGGGAATGCCACGAAGAAAAACAATACTAATGATTGGGGCAAGAGGAGCAGATGGGGGAACGGGAAGGATGGGCAGGAACACGCATTGACGACGTAGATCAGACGAGAGACAGAGAGGAGGGGACACGATGACCCTCCTCCACGCGTGCCTTTCATAGTGACCTCTGGCCAATCCTGCCACCGTGCCTGGGTTCTTGGTCAGAGGCCGCTGGGATGCCTGTTGGGATCTGTTTGGAAGCCTCTGGGCAACCTTCTGGACGCAAGTGTGAAGCCCCTTGGGAGCAGTTTGGGGCCCTCTTGTGGGCCTCTTAGGGTCCCATCTTGAACAATCTTCTGCCGTCTTGGGGCCCTCTTGGGCTGTCTTGTGACCCTCTCCAAGCGCACTCTTGACCCCGCGTTGGGGGCCTCTTGTGGCCCTCCTGGGCCGTCTTGGGGGTCCCTTGGGCCGTCTTGGGACGATGTTTGAAACCTCTGCGGCCGTCTCGGGCCGTCGAAAGCTCGAAAACATTTCAGGCCGCAAGACAATCCATGTCTGTTGGTCCTCACGCCCGCGTGGAGGTCCTCTTGAAGCCCTCTGTGGCTGTCCTGGGTCGTCTTGGGGGGCTTTGGCCGTGCTGGAGCTCTCTCAAGAGCCTCTAAGGGCTTTCTCAGGGCTATCTTGGGAACCTCTTGGGGCTCTCCTGGGCCGTCTTGGGGCTTTCTGAGGCCGCATTGGAGCCCTCTGGGCCTCTTGGGCCATTAGGGCTGACTTTTGGCGCCTTTTGGACTGTCTTGGAGCGTCGGAAGCCCGAAGAGGCGAAAACCTTTCATACCACTAACAACTAACGAGACATTTTGATCTTTGGCCTCTTCGGGGCCTCTTGGGGGTCCTCTTGAGATTCTCTTGGGTCATCATGGGGCCCCCTTGGAGCCCTCTTGGAGCCCTCTTGGGGCCCTCTTGGGGTTCTCCTGGGCAGTCTTGGAGTTTCCTTGTAGCCCCTTTGGACTATCTTGGAGCTCTTGTGGGTATTCCTTGTAGCCCTCTTGGGCTGTTTTTGGGCGACGTGTGGTGCCTCCTGAGCCGCCTTGGGCCGTCGGAAGCCCGAAAAGGCGAGAACCCCAAAAACTTCCAAACTTTTTGCGTCGGCGGCTTGGCAGAGTAGCTGCGCTGGCGAAGAAAAAACCTTCAAACAACTAAGGACAATGAATGATCTTGGCACCTGGACCGTTCTGGAGGGCCTCATGGAGTACTCTCTGGCCTTCTTGAAGACAATTTGGGCAGCCGGAGGCGCCGAGTGAGCCGTCTGATTCGTCTGGCGGCCATCTTGGGACGACTCGAGGCCGCCGTGAATCGTCTTGACGGCTGTCTGAGAGCCCTCGGCGTCGATTTGGGGCTCCAGAAGTGTGCACGGAACGCCCAAAAACTCCCATTTGTGCTCGGGGTTCCGGCCCGAGTCCCCCCCCCCGACGCGGTCCCCCGTCACACACACATCAGTTGTATTATGTTTTATCATATTCTACTATACTATATTGGATAATGTTCTGTTCTGCTCTATTGTATCCTATTCTGTCCTATTATGGTCTACCCTATTATAGGAAGCACTACTACATTATAATATATTGTGCCATAGTAAAGTGTATCATGTTATAGTAAGCAATGGGAATTTATGTCATATAATGGTCTATTATAACAAAGATATCTGCTATCATATATAGGTTTACATACATATATATATATATATATATATATATATATATATATATCATTATAAATGTACATACGTAGCTTTAAATTGTAGGTGCTCAGTTTCCATCACGTAGTCTCGTGCATGAGCCCAGGCCTTTGCTTGAATGCAGCATCAAACATCTACACTCGAAGCTGGCTTCGGCTTCCGCTGATCCTGGTACCCTCTTCCCTTCCCCGTTCCCAAGCCATACCTTGAAAAGAAAACATCTGGTTATCGGTACATCGGCTTGGTCGGACGTCAGTACGCTGGACCCTGGCATGGCATCTCGCGGGAAAAAGAGGAATATGCAATCTACTCCAACGACGCATGCCAGTGTCTAGGAAGCCTCGTTCGCCTTGCGATCGATTTCGAGTTGCGTCACGCCGATCCCCATGGAAGCACTCATTCACCAAACGGTTCTCGAGGCCGGGGTAGGTGCTGAGGCCCGACAGCATCTCGTAGACGTCGTTTGCAGGGCCCATGATGAAGCCCGCGTTCGCATACTGGTACCTTTCAGGCATCGCCCCCCCAACTATTCTTCCGATTCGGCAGGCGCGCGCACAACGTCGCGACGTAGACGCGCGGCGGCAGGTCAGCAAGACTGGAGCAGCGGTACAAAGGATCCAGCGGCCGCCCGATTCAGGACAGGAGAAACGGGCCAACCACCCCCCGTACACACACACACACACTCGCACACACGCAAACGCACACAGACACCCGCACAGACACACACAGGCACGCACAGGCACACACAGACACACCCACACACAGACACACACAGACACACACGAAGACACACAGCGCAGCACGACACAACACAACACTACACGACACAGGATACACCACAACACACCACACCACACACTACACCACACCACAACGCACAACTCACAAAAACGCGCACACACACGAACACACACGCACACGTACGCACACGCACACACACGCACGCACGCACAAATACATACGCACACACACACACACACGCACGCACGCACACACGCGCACACCCAGAAGCACACACACACACGCGCATCCACGCACACACACATACACGCACACACACACACACACACGCGCACGCACGCATGCACGCGCAAACGGACACACCCCCACCCACCCACGCACGCACGCACGCACGCACGCGCGCGCACCCACGCACGAGCAAGCACGCCCACGCGCACGCGGGCGCGCACGCGCACGCGCACGCACACACACACACACGCGCGCGCACGCGCACGCGCACATTTTTTTCGTCGCAACGCGGCAGAAGTAGTCCGCACGCGGCTCAGCAAGCCGTGAGACGGCATTGATGCACACACGCGCGCACACACACACACGAACACGCACACGCACGAATACACGCGCACGCGCGCACCCCCCGCACACCCCCCGCACACCCCCGCACACCCCCGCACACCCCCGCACACCCCGGGACACCCTCGCACACCCACCCCCGCTCCCGCATACCCCCGCGCCCCCCCCCACACACACACGCACACACACACACACGAGCACACGCACACCACGCACTCGCACACACCACACACACACGCACACACGCGCACACACACGCACACACGCACACACGTACACACACACACGCACACTCACACACGAACGCACACGCACGCACACACACACACACACGCGCACACACACGACCGCACGCGCACACACGCACACACACACACACACACACGCACGCACGCGCACGCACGCACACACGCACACACGATCGCACACGCACACGCACGCGCACACAAACACATACACCCGCCCACATACACCCACACACCCAGACACAACCACACACACACGAGCACACACACAGGCACACACACACAGGCACACACACGAGCACACACACACACACGATCGCACGCACACGCGCACACACACACACACACACACACGCGCACAAACACACCCCACCCACCCACGCGCACGCCAGCGCGCCCGCGGACGCGCACGCGCATGCGCACGCGCACACGCACACGCACACGCACGCACACGCACACGCACACGCGCACACGCACACACACACACGCGCACACGAACCTGCGCACACCCCCGCACACCCCCGTACACCCCCGCACACCCTCGGACACACCCCCGCACACCCCTGCACACATACACACGCACACAAACTCACGCACGCACGCACACATACACGCACACACACGCACACATTTTTTGCGTCGGCGGCTAGGCAGAGTGACTGCGCTGGCGGATGGGGCAAATGTAGGGCACACAGTTACAAATTAAGCAGCGATGCGCGTGAGGAGGAAGGGGAAGGCCTGGCGCGGACGGGATGGAGATGGAGACTGGGCCCGCTCAGAGCGGGGCCAGGCCGCGGCGGCGTGGCGCCGGGGCGGTGCCGCGGCAGCCGCGGGGCAGCCGGGGGCGAGCGGCAGCCAGGGGCGGCCGCGCGAGGCGGAGAGGATCAGGCCCAGACGGCGCTGGGGTTCGGCAGCACAGCAAGGCAGCTGAGCGCCGAGATCGAGCCGACCTTCCAAGCGACAGAGCAGCCGGAGCAGATCACCTCAGGAAAGGGGCGGGGGGTAGCTGGGAAGAGCCCAGCGGGCGAAACGAGACAAAACGCCGAGATCCATGGACCTGTGAGGCGCCGGAGGCGGGCGGCCTAGGTATCCTGTGGTTAGGGACCGCGGGGGGGCAGAGGAGCGAGCGAGCAGGCCACACACACACACGCACATACAGACAGACAGACACACAGACACACACACACAAGTACACACACACACACTGTTACTTCGCGGCTGGTTGATCCAACTCAGCGAGGGCGTCGGCAGGTTGCGCTACGCTAGTTACCACCAAGCCTGTGCCGACGGGGGGGCAACCAAAGAAGGCTGCGCGTGCAGAAAAGGAGGTGCGCGATAGTCAAGCACATGCAGCGCCGCAAGGGTCCCGCTTGGCGGCGGAGGGCCGCTGCCATGCGGCCAGCGTCTGCGTGATCCGCACATTGCCTCGGCGACCGCGTGGCCCACAACGCGGTGGTAAGCTAGCGAGAAGAGCGGCCGAGTCCAAGCGCCAAGCCACAGGAACAGAGGGAAAGCTGGAGGCGGTCGCCGATCGGGCCGGCCATGCACACGCACGTGTTCCGCCGCGGCGCGGCAGAGGCGATCCGCTCGCGCGTCGAGCAAATCCGGGCTGCGGATGGGGGTCACTCTTAGAGCGAGCCACCTTCCCTGAGAAGCGCCGTGGCAGGCAGCAACAACTGCCAGAGACCGCACACCGGCGGCAGCCGGGGCTGAAGTGCCATAAGGCGCAAGATCCCGTCACACACTGGACCAGAGAACACACGACACCACCCCGCCTGCGGCCCCACGAGGCTTAAGCGTATACCTAGAGATCCGGCGTGGGTTCTTGCGTGGTATACGCTGCGGCGCGCGATGGGCCGCAATGCAACGGGTGGTGTCGTTTGTTTTTTGGTCGGCTCACCCATACGCTCTGGGCCCCCACCAGCATCCACCCGCTGCCCTGACATCCGCTGATCTGATCTTCCAGCCCGCGGCCGCAGAGGTCCCCGACCGCTTCTCCAGGGGTCTTGCCATCGCTCGGGCTTCCAGTCCCCGTGCACGTCGGGTTTCGTGCGTGCTCTCCTCTAGAGGAGGATGGCGTCGCATCGGCGATGCACCAGCGATGCATCGGCGACGTCGGCGATGCATCGGCGACGTCCGCGTGAAGCAAATCGGGCTCCACATCGAGCCGCATCGTCGATGCATCGCCGATGCGGCGCGATCTTCCGACCCCACCCACTCCGACCCCATCTGGGAGGTGTAGATTCTCGCAAGACGAGCCAAGATATGCTCCTCGATGGTCCCCGCCGAGAAAAAAGTGCGCACGCCCGAGCGATGCCGAGGGGCAACTTTCCCTCCCCCATTTCTGATGGTCCCGGGGCCCGCAAGCGGCCCCCGAGGGCCAGAATTAAAAGACAAAACGCCACAAACATAAGCGGATGCAAGAAATCCGCGCAGAGCGCCAAAAGTTTATGTTTATTGCGTTACGAAAAATCGATGCAAAACGCCTGGGTACGGCAAGTTCGTGCCGTGTCGACCGCAGAGATGGTTCCTGACACCGCGGGGATCGCTCAACATTGAACGATCGGCCGCTTCCAAAAGTCAGATCGTTCCACGTCGACCGATTCTGGGGCGCTGCCGGCGTTCAACGTTGAACGCCGGCGGCGGGGTCGCCGCCAGTCGACACGACCCGACCCTGCCGTACCCAGCTGGCCACGAAATCAGCGGCGGGCCTCGGCGGGGAGCTGCACTGGCTGTTGGGGACGCTGGCGCTGCAATTCGCGTAGGTCTCCGCCCAACCGTGCGACATGCCGTAGCTGTCGAGGACGGAGTGCGTCCGGTTCACGAGGCTCTCGTTCCACCTTTTGCTCGGGTTAGGGGGACTCGGGTCGGCCCAACGGGGACATCATAAAAAGGACGAGGCCCAATCAGAAATTTGACGCGAGCTCCCGCTGCAGACATCCCACGAAGACTGGACCGTCAAGATCCAGGACGCGCTCCTCACAAAGCGTCGGCAAACCCGAGTCCCGGCGTACTCGAGTCTTGCGTTCTCCCGACTCCTGCGCGCTCTGTGTGTCACAACCCGAAGCCGCTTGACGCTCGAAGAAGGGGAAGTGGTGGCAAGATCGACCCTCAGGCCCGACAGAGCAGCAGGACAGGGATCGGAGGCTCGCCATCGCTCGGACGTCCATTACCTGTGCTTTTCTCGGTTTCGTGCGTGTTTTCTTCGCCAAATGATCAAGGATGCTCCTCGATGGTCCTCGCAGAGGGAAACATGCACACGTCCGAGCGATGCCAAGGGAGGCGCCGTGAGCAGCCCATGCCCGCGTGGGCCTCCCCTCCCCCTGGCGGCCCCCGCAGCGCCGCCCGGCAGCGGCGGCGGGCGCAGGCGGGCGCGCACGCGGGGGCTCTCTCCCGTCCCCGCTCCGCACCTCTGCCCGCGCACCGCCCGCGGGATCTCGTTCCACCTCGGAGGGGGGACAACCGTTGGGTCGGGCGTGTCCTCCTAATTGCAGGCGGACCTGGGACGAAAAACAGAAAACGACCCCCCCTCCAAAATGCCCAAACGTAGCCCAAACTGGTCAAAAAAAATCGTCCCCAGACTACGTTTTTCAACTATTTTTGAATACTCCCCCCTCTCGAGGGACATGCCCGACTTCAGACCACTGTGCTCCGCATCTCGCCATGCAGTGGGGGAGGGTCACAGCCCTCCCGGGCGGGCCATTGCACCCCCCCTCCCGACCAGCCGTGAAGGGGCGGCCTTCTGTCCAGGCCCCCGCGGAACCCTCCAAGACAGGTCAAATCAGAGCCCCTGAGAACCGCCGTCGCCAGCCGCCGCCGACGCAAGCGGAGCGCCGGCCCGAGGAGAGGGGAAGCATGGGGCGGGTTCGACCCCCCCCCCCTCCGTCACGGGAGGGGGGGGGATCCGGCTCCAAACCGCCCCCCTCCCCTCCAAGCGACCACAGAACGCGCTCTTTCTAAGAGCCAGACGCCCTCCATTCTAGTTGTGAGATCCAAAAGGACTTGACGGCTCACTGCGCAGGCGGAGGGGCCTCTCGGAGGCCGCGTGAGTCTTCTCGGAGGGCCGTGGGGAGGCTTCAAGAAGCAGGCTTCCGGGAAGCAGGGCGGGCTTCCAAGAAGTTCCCCCCCCTCTGCCTTCTCAGGCACCCCGCCGCCTTTTTCAGAAGCCCCTGCCCCCGGACGAACCCAGAATAATAACAAAAATATTAATAATGATAATAATAACAATAGTAATAGTAATAGTAATAGTAATAGTAATAGTAATAGTAATAGTAATAGTAATAGTAATAACAATATTATTATTATTATTACTATTACTATTAATAATAATATCAATATTATTATTATTATTATAATTATTAGTAATATTATTATTAATAATAATGTTCATAATAATAATAGTAATAATAATATTATACATAATAATATAGGAATAATAAAACATAAAAATGATAAACATAATGATAATGATACTACTACTACTAATAATAATGATGCTAATACTAATACTTATACTACTACTAATCATAATACAAAGAGGAAGCACCAGAAACATAAACTTTTGGCGCTCTGCGAAGACGAAAACTGGACCGTCAAGATCCAGGACGCGCTCCTCACAAAGCGTCGGCAAACCCGAGCCCCGGCGTACCCGAGTCTTACGCTCCCCCGACCCTTCTGGGCGCCGCTGAGCCTCAGAAGCGGGCAACTGTACGGCAAACTCGTGCTGTGACGACCGGCGCGCTGGCTTTCGACATTGCGCGGGGATGCCTCCGCCTGGTCGAACGATCGCGGCTGCCCGGCAGCGAGCGCGGATCGTTCGGCACCGGCCGATTCCGTGCCACCGGCGGCGTTCCGCCTCGAGCGCCCGACGGGGGTGCTCGCTGCAGCGTCGGCACGCCACGAGCCGACCGTGCCCCTCCAGGCCGGCGGAGGCGGGGGGAAGAGAGGAAGGGGGGGGAGGGAGGGGAGGGGGGCAGGGAAGGGAGGGAAGGGGGGGGGAGGGGAGGGGGGGGTGAGTGAGTGAGGCTGTGCCCCTCCAGGAGGTGCAGCCATCGTGCCACCGTGGGGAACGCATGACGCGGAGCGAAGGGGCCCTGCTGGCCACGGCGGGCCGCTGTGCCACGAACAGAGGTGCCACCACGTGCACAAAGTTGAGGCGCGGCCCGAACGCCCGAGCCCCTCCCGAGTCCAGAGCGGTCCTGTGTCAGCGTTCGGGCTCTGACGCGAGGGGCGAGGGTGGAGACGCAGGAACACGGGGAGGCACGAGGGACGATGATCGGCACGGGGGGAGCAGGGAGGGCGGAGGTGGTGCAGGGATGATGGAGGCGGGGGGAAGGGCGTCGAAGAAACAGAGGGGGCGAGGGAGGAGGGACGCGGAGACGGGAGGCGAGATGGAGGACGGAGTAGGCGGGAGGGCCGAGGGAGGAAGGACGAGGCGCGAGGGACGAGGGAGACATGGGAGAGAGACGGAGGCGGGAGGAAGCCCGAGAAGAGAGGAGTGGAAGCGGGAGACTGGAGGAGGGACGAGGAGTGTGGAGTCAGGAGAACTATGGTTAGGTCGGGCATGCCCCCCTACAGGCGGATTTAGGACGAAAACTAACTAGCACAGAAATATCCCCAACTTATCAAACATAATAAAACAATCATTTCCGGACCATTTTCTAGTATTTCTGAATACTCCTTCTGTAGAGGGACACGCCCGACTCAAAACTATGAAGGACGGGTCGAGCGAGGGGAAGCCTCGTGTGGGGATGCCGTGCGTGGTCCGAACCCCAGGTGCCCCGGCCCCGGTTCCGCAGGCCCCCGAGGGTCTTTGTTCCCGCCCCAAGTTTCATTAACACATTTAAAAAACCACTTATACACAACAACATATCATTTAACACATAAGAGCAACCAACACTTCTTTTTTTGCATTTTAATTTTCCATCTGTACAATCGCGCAAACCTCATAAGATATAACGGCTACTCCCAGCCTATGCTCGCACCACTTTCCGAAAGGTGGGCGAACGCCAAAGCTCGCCACGGCCACACTCCTCAGCCGCTCGGTGGGGCGCAGCGTGCTATATGAATTGAGCTAGGCACCAACACCTCATCGTAAAACAAAACTCTGAAAGGATGAGGGCACGAGCGCGCAATCCAAGGGCGAGGGTACGCTCCGTTCAAATCAGGGCTCATGGGGATCGGGGCTGGGCGACCCATCTTGCCCTTCTCCTCTGACGTCTCTTTTTGTGCTCAGGCGCCCAGCACGGCGGAGCAGCAGACTGCAGCTGGTGCAGGCTGAGGCTCAGGTGCTCGCAGTGCGGCAGAGCCAGGTCGGGGGCCCGCAGTGCGGCGGAGCAGCATCCTGTGCAACGCAAGGCCCGCGCGACTAAAGAGTCGGCCTCGGAGTCCTTTCTGCCGAGCCGACTGGTCGATCTGTATGGTCTCGGGGAGGGGCGAGTCGCGCTGCTTGGCCTCCACACGCACAATCTGAGGCACTGCAGGCAGTACCTTTTGATAAAAAGGGGCGTGTTTCTCTGCAAGGTCCCCCCCTTCACGCGTGCCGCGCGGGCCTCGGACCAGCACCAGAGGTATCATCCCTTGCCGAAGTTCTGCAAATCATGCCAGGCATCTACCAAAGAGCTTTCAAGCTCCCTGATCGCTCGGCCCGTCTTCTCCTCCCTCGCCCTCCACGCGGCAGCCCATCAGCTCAGCGCTTTGCACACCCTGCGGCGCGGTGGGAAAACTGCGTGTGTGTGTGTGTGTGTGTGTGTGTGTGTGTGTGTGTGTGTGTGTGTGTGTGTGTGTGTGTGTGTCCCTCTCTCTCTCTCTGGGAAAACAAAAGATGCTAATACCGCTACTCCCTGCACCTCTCCCGGGGTGCGTCGTGATCAGAATGTCGAGGCGAATCGAGCCGTGGTGACGAGGGCACCCCCAGGAGGAACAGAGACTCTACTACACTATTGCGTCCAATGGAAAACTTTACCTCCCGACTTTGCGATGCCGCAAACGTCCTCTGGAAGTGCGGGCCCGGCCAACCCTCCCGGCCGAGCCCACAGGATCTTAAGGTATATTTCTTTCCATGGGATATCCGCCACCGTGCCGCTGGGCACGGAGCGGGCGTGGCCTCAGGCCCTTTGCCCAATCCTCGAAGCCTCAATCCTCACCTCTGAGGAGTCTTGAAGGGGCCCGGACCCCAGCTTCTCAAGTCTTTTGGGCTTGTCGCGGTTCCCCGCGGCTTGTCGCACGACTTTGGGGCCCAAGAGGGCTCCAAGACTGGCCAAGAGAGCTCCAAGAGACCCCCAAGATGGTCCAAGAGTGCTCCGAGTCGCCGAAAGATCGCTCCAAGACGCCCAAGACGGCCCCAAGACGGTCCAATAGGCCTCCAAGACACCCCCAGAGGCCTTCACGAGGCCCCCCAAGAGGGCCCCAACAAGGCCAACATCTATGACTTCCTTTCGGTTTTTTGGAAGATTTTGGCGTTCTTGCCTTTTCGGCTTCCCGACGTTCCAGGACGGCCCACGAGGCCCCCAAGATCGCCCCAGAGGTCCCCGAGATGGCCCCGAGAGGGCCCCAAGAGGGCCCCAAGAGAGCCCCAAGACGGCCCAAGAGGCGCTCATGACGGCCCAAGAGGGGGCCGAGATGGGGCGCCCGAGCGGACATTTCGAGCCCTCGGCCCCCAGGGGCCCCCGGGAGGCCCCTACGAGGCTCCCATGAGGCCCCAGTAGGCCCCGAAGAGGTCCCCAAACTGCTCCCAAGAGACCCCCCGAGAGCGCTCCGAAGAGACCCGACGAAGCATCCCTGAGAACTCTGACCCACAACCCAAGCACGGTGGCAGGATGGGGTCTAAGGCCATTCGATCCGCCGCCCCCTGTTGGCTTGCCGCAGGGGTGCCCGGCGTGCTGAATCCTTTCGATTTTGGTTCTAAAAAAAACTCTCTGGGGCTTCGGCCCGTCCCGCCGGGGCCCCAAAGACTGCCCCAAATCGGGTTGCAAAGGTTTCTCCTGCACCACATGGCTCTAAGGTGGCTTCCAAGATGGCCTCCAGGTTCGCCCAAGATGGTCCAAGATGGCCTCCAAGACGGCCCAGGAGAGTCCATGCCTTCAAGTTCGCACAAGAAACCTTTCAGACGGCCCAAGACAGCCCCAGAGGCGGCCCAACAGTCCTCCAAGAGGTCCTCCACGAGGGCCCGAAGAGGTCAAACTCAATGTTTTCCGTAGGTTTTGAAGGATTTTGGCTTTTGTTCTTTTCGAGCCTTCCGGCGGCTCACGACGGCCCAAGGAGCCCGAAAGATCGTCCCCAGAGCGCCCAGGAGGCCTCCAAGATGGCCCTATGGCGGCCCAAGAGGCCCCAAGACGGCCTCAAAAGGGCGCCAAGACGGCTCCAGAGGCCTCCAAGACGCCAAAGACGGTCTCCAAGACGGCCAAGATGGCCTCCAAGATGCTTCCAACACGGTCAAAATGAGCTTCAAGACGGCCAAGATGGCCGCTAAGACGGACAAGATGGCCCAAGATGGGCCCGAGAGGTCCCAAGATTGCCCCAGAGGAGTCCAAGAGGTGCTCCAGGAAGGCCCGAGGGAGCCAACATCTTCAATCTTCCTCAGGTCTTTGAAGGATTTTTGTTTTTCCTCGGTTTTGGTGTTCCGACCGCCTAAGACGGCCCAAAGAGTCCCCAAACTAGTCCCACATGCCTCCCAGATGGCTCCAGAACGCCCCAAGAGGTCTTCAAGCCAGCCCCAAGAGGGCCCCAAGACGGCCCCAGACGTCTTCAAAACGGCCAAGATGGTCTCCAAGATGCCTCAAGACTGCCAAGATGACCTCCAAGACGGCCAAGATGGCCTCCAAGATGCCTCCAAGACGGCCAAGAAGGCCTCCAAGACGGCGAAGATGGCCCCAAGATGCACCTAAGACGGCCCCAGATGGCCTGAAGATGGCCTCAGACTGCCCAACAGGCCCGCCAGAGGCCTCCAAGACGGCCCAAGACCCCTTCAAGACGTCCTCCAGGAGGCCCGAAAGCTCGGAAACCACCTGGTCCGACAGCTCGCCCGACTCCGTGTTCCCCGAAGGCTTTCGAAACCCACTCGGGGAACGCGTGGCCCGATAGCTTGGCCAAGCTCAAACCCAATTTTCGGCCACGCAGGCGCTTCCAAAAAGGAAGGGGGCGGCGGTGATTCGCCGTAGGCGTCTTCGATCGTAGCGGCATTGGTACCTGCTCCTCCTGTGATGTCTCTCTCTCTCTCTCTTTCTATATCTCGCGTCGGACTGTCATGGCCGCGCGTGAGGTGGAATGGCCTCAGTCTGAAGCTGGCCCGGGTCCTGCGAGGCCCTTCACCTGCCCAGGCGCGGCAGCGCGCAGCGCGGAGAGGCCCACAGCGCTGCCGGCGGCTCCGCGGCAGCCCGGGAGAGCGGGTCGGCCCGCGCCGCGCGGCGCCAGCGCTGGCAAAAAGGGGCCTTCTGCTGCCCCTCGGGGGCGCGGGCCGCGGGCCGATGGATCCGTGTCGCCTCAGCTTCGCGTCCCGCGCCCCGCGGTGCTCGGCCGCCTCCACGCCCTCGCGCCCCCTCCCCCCCGCGTGCGCTCGGCCCAAGGGTGCCCCCAGGATTTTTCTCCGAGGCGGCCCCCAAGGGGCTCCAGAGCGCCCCGCGCGAGGTCTGGAGGGACCCAAGGGGCTCCGAGAACTGAGCGGGAAGCTGGGGGCTGGGGGCACCTTGGGCCAGGGGCACCTTTAGTAACTCGGGGGCGGCCAAGAGGGGGGTGTCCAAGAGGGGGGGGGTGCAAATCATGGCCGGCGGCATGTGCGCGGCCCAAGAGGGGGGCCAGGGACGTAATGAAACAAGGAGAGGCGCCGTGAAATCAGGGGAAAAATCATGGCCCACGCCGTGAAATCCCTCCCCCCCGTCATCACCCCCCTCTTTGCCGCCCCCGAGTAACCCGCCCCCCCCAGCCCACCGCCCCCCCCCTGGATGAAGGGCAGTGCTTCGGCCCGGGCCGCGGCGCGCGGAGGCGCGGCCGTCTCCCTGCTTCCCCGCTGGCGGCCGAGGCTCGGGCGCACGCTCGAGCATCTGCACCATGCCCCTCTCCACCTCCTCCTCGCCCTCCTCCTCCTCCTCCTCCTCTTCTTTTTCTTCTTCTCAGTAGTAGTATTATTATTAGTACTAGAATTACTATTATTAGTAATACTATCATTATTATTACTATTCTTATTATTATTCTTACTAGTATTACTATTATTATTGTTGTTGTTGTTATCATTATTATTATTACTATTATTATTATGATTATTACTATTATTATTATCATTATCATCATTCTATTAGTATTAGTATTACTATTATTAGTATTACTATTATTATTATTATTATTATTATTATTAATCATATCGCTTTTATTATTCCTCTTCTGATTCTTCTTCTTCCTCCTCTTCCTCTTCCTCTTCCTCTTCTTCTTTTTCTTCCTCCTCCTCCTCCTCCTCCTCCTCCACCTTCTCCTCTCCTCCTCGTCCTCTCCTCCTCCTCCTCCTCCTGCTCGTCCTCCTCCTCGTCGTCCTCCTCGTCGTCCGCCTCCTCCTCGTCGTTGTCGTCCTCCTCCTCCTCCTCCTCCTCCTCGTCCTCCTCCTCCTCCTCCTCCTCCTCCTCCTCCTCCTCCTCCTCCTCCTCCCCCTCGTCCTCCTCCTCCTCCTCCTTCTCCTCCTCCTCCTCCTCCCTCCCTTCCTCCTCCTCCTCCTCCTCCTCCTCCTCCTCTCCTCCTCCTCCTCCTCCTCCTCCTCGTCCTCGTCCTCGTCCTCGTCCTCGTCCTCCTCCCTCCCTCTCCTCCTCCTCCTCCTCCCTCTCCTCCTCCTCCCTCCTCCTCCTCCTCTCCTCCTCCGTCCTCCTCGTCCTCTTCGTCCTCCTCGTCCTCCTCGTCCTCCCTCCTCCTTCTCCTCCTCTTCCTTCCCCTCTCCTCCTCCCCCTCCCCCTCCCCCTCCTCCTCCCCTTGCTCCTCCCCCTTCTCATCTCCTCCTCCCTCCTCCGTCCCTCGTCTCCTCCTCTCCCTCGCCACTTCTCCCTCCCTCCCTCCCTCCGACGCCCACGGCAACGACGGCGTCACCCGCCGCAGAGCGCGCCCGCGGGGGGCGAGGAGTAGGCCGTGCCTGGCAGGGTTCATGAGGACCCAAGGTGCTGCACAGACCCTCCTGGCATCGGCCAGGAGGGCGTATACACCATGCATAAGCCCAAGATGGTCGCCCTTTCCGTTCGCCCCCCTTCCCTCCTCCATTCCTTTTTTTATGAATCACTCCTCCCAATCGCGCCCCCGGAAGTGCCGGTAGGGCAGGCCGCGCGTTTCGCTTGAGACGTCTTTACCATTCATTATCCTGAAGCTTGAACTTCGCAACACTTGCACGGATGGATGTCGGGCCGTTTTTGACAAGTGGCTCTTGCCTTAGCGCAGTGGTCACTCGTCATAAACGTCTGGAACAATTTTGAGGATGGAGAGCGGGTGTCGTTTATAAGATGCGGCTCTCGCCTTAGCGCCGCGCGCAGTCGTCTTCAAAGCTTGCAACGGTTTCAAGGATGGAGGGCAATTCCTTTTCAACATGTGGCTCCCGCCTCAGCGCCGTCCACACCCGTCTTGAGAATTTGCGATCGTTTCAAGGGTCCGTATGAGTGAACTTCCAGTAACAGTGTTATGGAACGAGTTAAGATTGTCAGGGCGCGACAGCCTCGTTGATTCGCGGTGTTGAAGTCCGAATCATGGTTTTCTGGCACAATCTAGGATTGTCAGGACGCATCAATCGTGTTGATCTGCGGCGTTGTAGTCCCAGGAATTGCGTTTTGGTGCGATTGAGGATTCTCAGACGGTTGTCTTCAGATGGGCCACCTCCCGCAATTAAGGTAAATTAGACCTATGAAGAGGGAGCATCGTTTATGCGTTTGGGGTTTACACTGGTGCTCCTCCTCCTCCTCATTCTCCTCCTCCCTCTCTCCTCATTCAGCCCATGGTAAGCCCCCTTCCTCGCCCCTCTCTCCCTCTTTCCTCCTCTTCCTCCTTCCTCTGCTTCCTTCTTCACCCTGCGTCCTGGCGGCATTGTAAACTTGGTCTCCGACCACCTTTGGTATGCCCAGCCCATGTCCGACGGATAAGGGGACACCTCCGCAGCCAGCACGATCTTCGTGGTGCTCCCGCTGGCGGCGACGAGGGAATCGTACTTGTACTGAAGAGTGGTCTCGTTGCAACCTCCAAACAAGACCTCGGCATCAACTCAGCTCCTTCCGCCCGACCCGACCACACGTGGAGGGACGCATAAGAGCTAGAAAACTATACACGTGAGCGCTCGGACGGTAGACAGACGTGCTGTGCAGCTGGTGGCATCGAGCCACAGCAGTCACACCCGCCCTCTCGGAGTATGCTGTTCGGCAGATCATCTCTTCAGGAGAGCCCAGAATCGAATCGACAAGTCGAATCGGCGATCGAAATGAATCGGATCGGCGGAAATCGGCAGCCGAGTCGGAGAAAGTCGAATCGGCAGCAGGCTAATAGGCCTCCAATGAGACATCGGAACCCGAATTGGAATCCCAAATCGAATCGAATCGGAATCGGAAACCATCAAAATCGGATCGAATCGAATCGGAAGAATCGAAATGCGCCCTGTCTCTTCCACACCCGCCCCTCCCCCCCTCCCCCTTTCCGCTGCAAGGGTCTGGGACCGACACCCTCCGCGCTCCCTTCCCTTCGCGCTCCCGCCTGCTCTCCCTGAGCGCCCCTCCCCTCCCCGGGCCCGCTCTGTTCTTCACCGCCCCCTTCTCCTACCTCCTCCCTGGGTGTCTGGGCCTCCATGCCCCTCTGAGTGTCGGAAGGCCCGTCTCTGCCCAAGGCTGTTTTGAGGATGGCCCGAGATAGCCCAAGAGTGTCCAACTCGGCTCATGATGGCCTCCGGCATGAACCTAAGAGGCCACACTACTGCCACACGGCGGCCCGAAGTATTCTCGGATCCTTCTTGTATGCACATGAGAAGCCAAAAGCCTCAACATGTTTTTTGCTGTTTTTGTTTGCTTTGCCGTATATAGTTATGGTCTTCTCATCTTTTCGCTTACGATGGGACTCTGATGTCTCAAGACGGCTCAAACATCTCCCACGAGATCCCCAAGAGGGACTCCCAAGGGCGCCTCCATGAGCTAAGTATTTCCCTTTGACCGGGGTCAAGCACGACATATATCGTCGTAGCATTTTCAGTGCCCTCGCTCCTTGTATCCTCAGCTTCACCCTTTCATGAGATGACCGTGCTTTGCCACAACCGCCACCACATCTCTATATCTGACCGACATGTCGCCGATACGGCTGATAGCACATCTTTCAAACCAACTCTGGACGTGAATTCTCATGTCCTAGAGTGCCATGTTGTTTATGGCTGGTAAAACATAACTGCCGCAAATGATTGGCGAATCGGCTTTTTGTTCGCTGGACTCAGGCATGAATCTGGAGGCAAATGGCATTGCTCGCGAGAAACAGATGCGTCGGGGCACCGTCGTATCCAACACATGCTTGCTCGCCGGGTACCCTCATGATCTGCGAACCTCGGTCATCCGGCCTAATCGGGACAACAGGCGATCTTCGGCATGATCCTCTGCCTGCTCTCCCTCTCGATACGATTCGATCCATCTGTGCACGCGGCATCGCCGTAAGAATGCACGACGACCAACTTCTCTGGGTATCGGCTGATCCAGAACTCGAGCCACTTCTTCAGGCCGAACCACTTGTTCCTCTGCCACTGCCACACGGTCAGGTCAGCCGTCGGGTTCACCACGCCGTTCAGGTGCATGTAATCCATGCCTCCAACCGTGCCTCGGGGAAGAACTAATACAACAAGCACGCTGGTCGAGTCATGAACTGCCCAGCGCAGATTCAAGAAATCCGCGCGGAGCGCAGAAAGTTTACGTTTTTATTGCTTTTTCTTACTATGGGAATCTGCGGGAGGGTGCGAGCGCCCCCAGGGACCGCCAGCTCGCTCGGGCTGGCTTGCTCGTCGCCCACAGCCCCGCTCCTGTCCCCGTCCTCTTTCGCTGTCGGTGAGCGTACAGGGCCATCGCAACGCCGCCTCCGAAGCGTAAGCGGAACGGGCTGTCCAATTCCACTGACGTTAGGTCGGGCATGTCCTCCTGCAGGCGGATTTGGGAGGGAAACTGAAAAATAGTCGACAAAACGCCAACAAATCACATAAACATCGTACCCAGACTATTTTTCTCAACCATGCTGTGGTGTTGGGTCCTCGTTTTGAAGAGACGGTCCCCGCGTCTCCTCCTCCTCCCTCCTCCATGCGTTTCACCCACCCAGTACAACGTTTCGTGGCCACATAGGGAGCTCCACCGAAGGCCCCAGTGAGGGGTACCACATGCGTCCGCCACACCATGTACAGCGTTTCGTGGCCCCATAGGTAGCTCCACCGAAGGCCCCAATGGTGGGTACCACATGCGTCCGCCACACCCAGTACAGCGTTTCGTGGTCCCATAGGGAGCTCCACTGAAGGGCCCAGAGGGGGGGGGGCCACCTGCGTCCACCCAATACAGCGTTTCGTGGCCCCATAGGGAGCTCCCCTTAAGTCCCCAGTGGGGGTGGCCACATGCGTCCTCCACACCCAGTACAGCGTTTCGTAGCCCAATAGGGAGCTCCACCGAAGCCCCCAGTGGGACCGCCCACATGCGTTCCACACACCCAATTTGGTAGTTTCACCCACCCAGTACAGCGTTTCCTGACCCCATAGGAAGCTCCACCGAGGCCCTCAATGGGACCGTCCGCATGCGTCCCGCACGCCCAACTTAGCATTTTCATCCACCCAGTATAGCGTTTCGTGGCCCCATTAGGAGCTGCACCGAAGCCCCCAATTGGACCGTCCGCATGCGTCCCAGAAACCCAATTTGGCGTATTCACCCGCCCAATACAACGTTTCGTGGCCCTATAGGGAGCTCCACCGCCGTCCGCATGCGCCCCGGAAGCCGAATTCGGCATTTTCACCCACCCGGTATAGCGTTTCGTGGCCCCATAGGGGGCTCAACTTAAGCCCCCAGTGGGACCGTCCGCATGCGTCCCACACACCCATTCGGCATTTTCACCTACCCAGTACCGCGTTTCGTGGCCCACTAGGGAGCTCCACCGAAGCCCCCAGTGGGACCGCCCACATGCGTTCCCCCCCACCCAGTGCAGCGCTTCGTGGCCCCATAGGGAGCTTCACCGAAGAAGATATTCACAATTGCGGTACCCACAACTGCAATGGTTGGGTCCTTCGCCAAGGGATTTTTTACATTTTTTGAATATCCTTCCTCGGGACTTGCCCGATTTAACACTCCACTGACGTCCTCTCGAAATAACTTAAACATAACATCAACATAAACTTTAGGAGCTCAGCGCGGACTTCATGGATCTGCACTGGGCCCCCTCCCTGGAGCTCTCTGGGAGCCAAGTGCTTCGCCGCCAGAAGAGGCCACACCGCGGGCCTTCGACAATTTATGTTTACATGTTATTGTCTTCTTCGACTGATGTCTTACATTCCCTGGAAAGGTAATGCAACTCTTGAAGATTGCGTCGAAGAGTCATCCAGGAGACTTCCCTGCGGGTAGTTCCCAACCATCCTGTGGTGTTGGGTACTCGTTGTGAAGGAACGGTCCCCGCGTCTCCTCCTTCTCCTCCCGTGCCCCCCCCCAGTAGGGGTACCACATGCATCGGCCAAACCCACTACAGCGTTTCGTGGCCCCATAGGGAGCTCCACGTAAGGCCCCAGTGGGGGTACCACGTGCGTCCACCACACCCAGTACAACGTTTCGTGGCCCTACAGGAACTCCACGTAAGGCCCCGGTGGGGGTACCACATGCGTCCGCCACACCCTGTACAGCGTTTCGTGGGCCCATGGGGAGCTCCAAGTAAGGCCCCAATGGGGGTACCACATGCGTCCGCCACACCCTGTACAGCGTTTCGTGGGCCCATAGGGAGCTCCAAATAAGGCCCGACTGGAGGTACCACATGCGTCCGCCACACCCTGTACAGCGTTTCGTGGCCCCATACGGAGCTCCACCGAAGGCCCCAGTGGGGGGTACCAAGTGCGTCCGCCACACCCAGTGCAGCGTTTCGTGGCCCCATAGGGAGCTCCACGTAAGGCCCCAGTAGGGGTGGCCACATGCGTCCGCCACACCCAGTACAGCGTTTCGTGGCCAGTGGGGCCGTCCGCATGCGTCCCGCGCACCCAATTTGCCAGTTTCACCCACCCCGTATAGCTCCACCGAAGCTTCCTGTGGGACCGTCTGCATGCGTCCCGCGCGCCCAATTTAGCATTTTCATCCACCCAGTAAAGCGTTTCGTGGCCCCGATAGGGAGCTCCACCGAAACCCTCAGTGGGACCG